AATTACTATTACTATATTAGTAGAAATAGTAATAAACCTAACTATATATATATATATATATATATAAATTCACTGGTACCTGGATCTCTCGCAAACCCAAAGCCTTCCCGATCGTTGTTGCAGTCAAATCGCTACCTCCTCTACCCAGCGTAGTTACAGCACAAGATCTCCATCCCTGCAAAAAAATGAAGTTTTTCAAGTCATTCTAAAAAGTGTCACAACAAAGTAAGCATGCATGATGAAAGAGAACTTAATCGTTACTTATATACCTTTCCAAGGAACCCTGTGACGATGGGTACTGCGTTTTCCTTGCTCCAATCACCAAGTAACCTTTTTGAAACCGCCGGGTATGTTGCCTCAAGAATATCAGCATTAGTGAATTCATCTGTGGTGATAATCCCGATCTCAAATGCATCATACTGCCAAAGCAAAAGCCATCATCATCAAGTCGTGAAACAAACTAGCTATAACGTTATCTCAAGATAGATAGATATATATATATACCTGTCGTGCTTTATGTCCAATTTTGTTCAGGTACGCAGCAAATAGCCTTGTGGACATGCATTCTCCAAATGAAACCAAGTAGTCTCTTGTGCGTAAAGTTAACTCTTTCATCATCGCAATGCCTTTTAGTAGCTGTTCCAGTCCTTCTAGGTGTTCTACACATATATTAAGCAAAGGCAAGATTCCAGAGATAAACAAGGGTGTTAACAAAGCGAGCAAATCCAAAATCATCAAACTAATCAACCATTAAGAGAGAAGAAAACTAATTAATTAAGGCATTTACGAGAAATAATTGCTGTTTCCACCCCAAGCTCTTGAGCAGTCCTGCACATAAGAGAATTTAAAATTCTATTATGAGAAATGATAAAGCAAACTTTGAGGTGACAAATTAAAACTGTTTGGCATTATACGATATATTATATAGGATCCAATAGGTATATATGTAGGTATGTTTTCTTCTAACCTTATATGGAGTTCCTTTATATAGCTAAACTCTTCAATAGTGTCGACGTTGGTGACTCCGCAGCGAACAGCCTTCTCTCCAGCCTAATGAAAGCCACAGCCCGAGTTTTATTACGGAAGAAACATGCATGCACGGTAAAATAAGGTACAAATTAAATGAAAGAGTTCGCTTTAATTTGTTTCTTACCATCAAAAGCTTATTGGTGGTCTTTGCCATAGCTGATAGCACAACAACAGGTTTCTCATCTGGGGAGCTGAATATGAGTTTGGCTACCTGTTTCATCCTCTCTGCTGATGCCACTGATGAGCCACCGAATTTCATTACACAAGTAAGCTTTCTCTCGGTTCTGTTTAACTTGAAAGTCTCATAGTCTTCTCTCTCTAGCAGCTCCACCCTTGCAGCTTCACAAGTTACTCTCAGAGCAATGTTCTTACAAGAATGATCTACCTTTCTAGAGAATACACGAGCAGAGGACACGAGAGCTGAGAAATTCATCCCCTTTGAGCCAACTTCAAGAATCCTTTTTGAGTTTAAGGCGAGTTCTGGTGTTTTAACTCCGTAGAACTGCATTGAAGCCGCCATTACTCAATAAGCGACGATTGTGAAGTTTAAATCTGCGAGTGAGTGTTGTGATTTCGACAAACGATAGAGTATGCTAGTTTAGTGCGCAAACCTGCAATGATTCGTGGAATCCACGGAAAACAAATTAAATGCATGAACAAAAAAAAAATGGATCTTGCAGAGAGGAGATTGAGAGATGGCATATAAACCAGTTGACAGGGGCTCCCAATCCCGAATGGTTGAGACAAATCCGACCAAGCTCCGAGCTCGTTAGCAGCTGAGGTGAGAAAATTATATATATATATGAGGTAAGGCGCCAAAATGGACGATCAAGATCTGAAGCTAAAAAAATCAGACGGCTGTGAACTTAGTCTCGGATGTTAAATGTTTATAGCCAGAGGAAAGAATCGAACGATCATTCGATTTCACTATTATTTTCTCCAAAATATGAAACTGCTTAATAATTCAAACTCTTCGGTAGCACACATATATATAAGGGAATAGAATTAGAAACTACGTAATTGACTAACTAATCGTTTTAACTAATGTTTTTTTGGAGGGGGGGTCAGGAAAACGTGACAAATACAATCATATTAGTGAACCCTTAGGAGGTTGAGGGGGAACTTAGAAATGGTGAATCGAATAAACGTGGCCACCTACTTATAGATATAAATTGTTTGATCTAGCAATAAAACGCACACATTTCATAACACGTGGCATCAGATGTATCGTATAACAAGTTTCACATTTTAGTCGATGGATGCTTGCTTATGAAACTAATTAATTTTCACTCGAGGAATAATAATAAGCCATCGATATCAGAAAAATACGTACACAAATAGATATTGAACGTCGAATGTGCGATGCGATTAATAAATATTGAAGGTAAAGTTGAGGGAAGAAATAAGGAGCAGCCATGCTAATGCTAATCTCTCATCAGTTCTTTCATGAAATGGTCCATATTTTCTTAACCAAACCAGGAAAAAAATAAAATAAAATTTCTTTAACCAATATCTCTCTTTATCAAAAAAAAAAAAAAGAAGAAGAAAGGAATCATTATGTTGTTTAATATAATAATAACACAATTAGATAGTGATTATTGCATGAGTAAAAGAGTGTGAAGCTAATGGTGATGGTCAACAGCGGAATGAAACTGCGCGGGAACAACGACGCAGTGTTGTTGGTTGTATGAATTGTTGGATTAATGGAAAAGTATTTTGAGAAAATGTAAAACGGGCTTTTGAGCCCACGGGCCTTGAGGTCATGTGGCGCTCTGGAGAATAGTCAAGAGAATGAATGAGAATAATGCTGCCTTTAAACACTCCCATTTGCGAATTGCGAGGGTTTCATACTTGTTTCAACACAACTTGACAAGGGAGGCCGAAGAAGAAGAAGTCTCTCTCTCTCTCACCAGTCAGGCAGTCACTAGTCAGTATCACTCACTCTTTGCAACAGCCACTCTCTCCTATGGAGTCTCCTAAGCATTCCTTGATTCCCAGCTTCCTCTACTCGTCCTCCTCTTTCTCCCCCAGCTCTCTTCTTCTCGACCAGATGCTCAACTCCAACTCCGATCTCCATAAATCTCAAACGACGATGCTCCCTCAGAAGAATTTCCTTATCGCGTCTCCCACCGAGCCCGGCAAGGGGATTGAGATGTACTCCCCTGCCTTCTACGCCGCCTGTACCTTCGGTGGCATCCTCAGCTGTGGTCTCACTCACATGGCCGTTACTCCCCTCGATCTTGTCAAGTGCAATATGCAGGTTCCCCAACTATCGCCAGTCTTTCTTGTCCTTAGCTCTGTTAGACCCAAATATATATATATATATATATATTCCTTACTTTTGATCTTTGCAAATTAGTCTATTTTGCTCATAGCAAATTCATAAGGTTCCCATTCCGTGCCTTTTTAGATCGATCCTGCAAAATACAAGAGCATCTCCTCCGGCTTTGGTGTTTTGCTGAAAGAACAAGGAGCCAGAGGCTTCTTCCGTGGATGGGTCCCTACTTTGCTCGGTTACAGTGCTCAGGGTGCCTGCAAGTTTGGTTTCTACGAGTTTTTCAAGAAGTACTACTCTGATCTTGCTGGTCCTGACTATACTGCCAAGTACAAAACCCTTATCTACCTTGCTGGTTCTGCTTCCGCTGAGATTATTGCCGATGTTGCCCTTTGCCCATTTGAGGCTGTCAAGGTCCGTGTTCAGACACAGCCTGGATTTGCCAGGGGAATGTCTGATGGATTTCCCAAGTTTATCAAGTCTGAAGGTGTTGCAGGGTAAGCTTTTTACTTGCTCACTCTTCTTAAGACGAGCCTTTGTGCCTGATTCCTTTTTCTTTCCTTGCAGTTTGTACAAGGGAATTGGTCCACTCTGGGGACGTCAGATTCCTTGTAAGTTGTGACCTCAGCTTTGCAACTATCGCATAATATGATGTAGGCTCATGAATGCTTTAGTGCCCCTTTGTAGTTTCAAATTTGTGCTAATAATAATAATCTACCTTTGTAACAGATACAATGATGAAGTTTGCTTCTTTTGAGACCATTGTGGAGATGATCTACAAATATGCAATTCCGAGACCAAAGGACCAGTGCAGCAAAAGACTACAACTTGGGGTGAGTTTCGCAGGAGGTTATGTTGCTGGCGTGTTCTGTGCTATTGTCTCTCATCCTGCTGACAATCTAGTGTCCTTCCTCAACAACGCCAGAGGAGCAACCGTTGGAGATGTAAGTCTCTCTGTTTCGGTTTCTATCTGTAATGCGATGTAACTTGTGATATTAAGCATTGTTGAAACCATCCTTTCAAAAGGCGGTGAGGAAGATAGGGCTGTTGGGTCTATTCACAAGAGGGCTGCCTCTAAGGATTGTGATGATAGGGACATTGACGGGAGCGCAGTGGGGCATCTACGATGCTTTCAAAGTCTTTGTTGGCCTGTAAGTCCCTTCCTTCCTTTACAGCTATATTGGTTCAGAGGTTTTCCTTCTGAAACGCTAATGAAACTCTCTTTTCTTTCAGTCCAACCACTGGTGGTGTTGCTCCAGCGGCTGCCATCACGCCTGCTCAAGCAAAGGCCTAAAGGCCCTTAACTGTGACGAAGAACGAAGGGTCTCTTACGTTAGCATTTTTTCCTTATAACAAAAATAAGATAACCGGACAATGATGAAAAAATTTGAGTAACTCAGCCTGATTCCAACTTGATCAGTGCAAAAATTTTGCGTTCCCAAAATCAAGAGTAATATTCTGCGAGCCTTACATGTTGTTCACTACTATATTATCTTCTTTCATTTTCTTGCCATTTCTCTTTCTCTTGAAAGGTCCATCTTCAGCTTTAGATCATTTCCCTGCACAATGTAAACGCTTGGCAAAAAATTTCAAAATCAGAGAAACTCATTCCACATCATAAGCAGGCATAAGAAAGTGGAAGTGCAAAACCTTGAAACAGTCCCTCTGTGTTTTAAAAACAATGAGGTTCTGTATAACTGCCAAGTACAGCACTGCCCAAGAATTCATCTTTGTCGGCTTTGTAACCCTTTAACTTGGTTACGTTTGCTACTTGACTTAGACGGGGTAGCTATTAGGTAAATGAACAGAACGACAAACACTGTGATCAGTGATCACCGAAATGAATGATCCATATTTCGCCACCAACCCCTGTTACATGATCAACACAATAAGGTAACTAGACTGAAACTATATCTAAAGTTAATAAAGCAATATGTATGTAGCCAAACACACCATCCGTTTCCTTTAATGCATATCGATTTTGAATTGGAAATATAAACAGAATCAAAGGAGAAAGAGAAAACTGACGAGGATCATTGGTTGTAGATGTCAATGGAAACCAAAACGTGTTTGACGCGAGATTTGAGTCGACAACCATGAAAGGTACTTCCGTGGTCGCGAAACAAGCTGAGAGAAGATCACCATGCCGGAGACAATACTTTAGATGGCTGCGGGGATCGCCATGGAATCTGTTTCAATTTCAAACAGATCTACGATTCCTTTCCTCTCTATAAAAAAAGCTAGAAGCTCTCGGGTTTATTCATGGGCCAAACGGAAAAGCCCGTCCATTAAAAGTCAAATAAATGATTTCTGGGCCTTTTACCTATACAAGATAATAACAACTGCTTGCTGTGTGAGAAGCTCTAAACGTCACACATTTGTCTCCTTGACAAAGAAAACAGCACGACAACTGTGACTGTGAGGGTCGATGTCGATGATGGAGAGAGAGAGAGACCGTTAAGTCATGAGATCTTCGTTTCGGCTGGAAAACGGAAAGAAACCCAAAGACCAAAATCTTCGTTTAAATTCTTCATGGACGCACCAGCACCACCACAACCACTAACTTCTTCTTTCCCATGGCGGCCATCGGATTTCACCAGCTCTCTGCCGTCGGCTTATGCAACGGGGTGAAGCATAAGCACTCCCTTGGAGTAAACCTACCCCCGGCACGCAGATTCTCCGCTTCTGTCACCGCCTTTAGCTCGGATCAGTGGAGGCCTGGGGACTACGAGCAGCCATTCGCTAAGAGCTTCTGGGACTATCTCGAGGCTGCTAAGGATTTCATCAGACCGGAAGACAACAGCCCGTCTCGCTGGTTCTCTCCCCTCGAAAGCAATAGCAAGGCTCGATGTGACGGCGCTCCGCTGCTTCTCTACCTACCTGGTTAGTCTTCTTTGTCCCGATTCATTCAGTTAGGGGGAATCAAAGGGCGAATGTGCAATCATATTCAGAATCATTATAGGTATCGACGGAAATGGACTCGGGCTAATACGGCAGCACCAGAAACTTGGACAGTGAGTGCCCCTCAATGTATCCTTACATTTTTCTTTGCTTTCAAACTGCCGTGGTTGAGCCTTTGTTTTTCTTGGTGTCTCAAGGATGTTTGATATCTGGTGCTTGCACATACCTGCCAGCAATCGTACTGCATTCACAGGTATCTCTTCGATTGCTTTTGTGTATTAGATTATTGTTTGGCCACACAGCTTATCTAACACATGTTGAATCCATTAGATTTGGTCGGCATGGTTGAAACAACTGTCAAATCTGAAAATCACCAATCTCCCGGTAAACCTATATATCTTGTTGGAGAATCTCTTGGCGCCTGCATTGCACTCGCTGTTGCAGCCTGTAACCCTGAAATTGATCTTGTCTTGATTCTTTCAAACCCAGGTGACGTTTATCTTTTAGGTGTCAAAATTTTATGACTCAAACTCAGCGTAGTGGCTGCTTACTTGATATATTTATCTCAATTTACGCTGACACATCACATATTCACATGGTTGTTTGAAATCACATAAGTATTACTTTAGAGGCTGATTAGATCTCCAATTAATTCCAACAGTCAACTGACCTTTTTTGACGACTTAATAGGAAAAGAAATAGAGGCCTTCCCTATTCCTAATACCTTGAACACAAGTCTCACCACGTCGTCTATATTAAATCTTAAGAGTATTTTTGAATTTGCAGCTACATCATTTGGAAATTCTTCTCTGCAACATCTTGCTCCCCTGGCTAAAGTCTTGCCAGACCAACTTGATCTTGCATTTCTTTTCGTGTTAAGTTTGATTCCAGGTTAGCTAAGACTTACCTATCCACAGATTTTAGAATTCTGAGTGACAAATGTTCCCTCCTGTTAATTTAAAATCACGCCATACGTTGGTAAAAGCATCTTCGGAAACTCCAGCTCAAGTGTCTTTATGGACATGTGATTTTTGGTGATATAAGACATGCTTTTTAATTTCATAGCTGCATAAAACCTCTATTGGAATTTTAAGGTGGCCCTTTTAAAAGGATGATTGCTCACTGGGTCAGGGGACTTCCGGAGATGGAAACAGCTGCAAACATTTATCAAGATTTGGTGATAACATCTACATTAACTTCTGTAGGTGACAAACTCATTTATGGTAGTCTTTAGTTTTCCGGTGTTGTCAAATATAGTTAAGAATCTGACTATGCAGATCCTGGCTGATACATTTCGGAGAGAAACACTTCTGTGGAAGCTGAACTTACTTGATGCCGCTGCTATGTTTGCCAATGCACATCTTCATCTAGTGCAAGCTCCGAGTCTAATCCTCTCCAGGTTCGTGTTATCCATCAGACTACTGGTTTTTCTAATATTATTGAAATTCCACTAGAGTATAGCAATTAGGTTAAGCCGCTAATTTGTTAATCAATTATAGCGGAAACGACCAAATATTACCCAGTAAATTCGAAGGCAGACGACTTCGGAAAAAACTGCCTAAATGTGAAGTCCGCTCATTCAAAGACAACGGCCATTGCCTTTTTCTGGTTTCTCGATTCTCTCCACTCTGCATCTTTTATTCAACTACAACTGCCAAACACTAAATTTCATCTCATTCAAAGATGTAATCTGAGATGCTTCATTTTACATCTCCTTTTGCCTTTGGATATGACAGGAGGACGGCATTGATCTGGTCAGTATCATAAGAGCCACTTCTTTTTACCGACGTGGGTCTCGACTGGATTACATCTCCGACTACATCCCACCAACCATCTCTGAATTTAACAAATGTTATGGGGTCAACAGGTTACTACTACACTTACAAAATTATGTCCCAAAATGGCTTGTATGATTACTGGAGTAGAAAAAGAAACAGTTTGATTTATCTTTATTTTTTGTGACAAAGTAGGCTCCTCGAGGTGATCATGGGCCCTGTATTTCTGTCGACTACAGAAGATGGGAAAATGGTGAGGGGGCTTGGGGGAATACCATCGGAAGGACCTGTACTGTTGGTAGGCAATCACATGCTACTGGCGAGTGACAAAATATCTCTCCCAGGCCAATTTGTTCACGAGAGGAACATCAATTTGCGGCCTCTCGTGCATCCCATGATGTTTACGAGACTGAGAGATGGATTATTACCTGATGTGTCTGTTTACGACACACTCAGGATGATGGGGTCAGTCCCCATCTCAGGCACTCACCTCCATAATCTCTTGTCTGCTCGATCCCATATTCTGTTGTTTCCAGGAGGAATCCGCGAAGCTCTACACCGTAAGGTGAGTAGTTATATACTAGTTGCTTATCCGGAGTGGGGTCTCATAATTGGCAGTAGATACTTTGGACATGTGAATATGGTTGCTATATATCGGATCAGGATGCCTCCGTTATGTTATATTGCTGCTATCATTGTTACCTGTGGTGGTGAAAACAAGTCATCACGATTTTCTCAATAACAGGGAGAAGAATACAAGTTGATGTGGCCAAAGAAAGCAGAGTTTGTGAGAGCAGCAGCCAAATTTGGAGCCAAAATAGTACCCTTTTGTGGAGTTGGAGAAGATGATTTCTTAAGAGTGAGCACACTTTGCATCCAAGTCATGTGTAATAGATGGTTGGTGTAACTGTGTGTAAACGAATGCAGGTGGTTGTAGACTATAATGACCAGGTAAAGGTTCCGATGGTGAAAGAAGTGCTAAAGAGAGTGTCCGCAGAAGGCCCGGGGGTAAGGTATGTGAATGGAGTTTAGTAGAGAATATGAATTGTAGAAATGGATGATGATGCGTGATATTTGACATGATTGGTGTTTGATAGGGGAAGCGTGGAAGGAGAAGAGGGGAACCAAGACTTCCACATGCCAGGAGTGATACCAAAGTGGCCTGGGAGATACTATTATTACTTTGGGAAGGAGATAGAGACGGGAGCTGAAGAGTTGAGAGACAGAGAGAAGGCAAAGGAGGTGTACGCAGAGGTGAAGAAGGAGGTTGAGAGATGCATAGAGTTTGTGAAGCAGAGAAGGGAGGAGGATCCTTACAGACCTCTCTTACCCCGTATCCACTATCACCTGCAGCACGGCCTCCTCTCGCAAGTCCCCACTTTCCCCTTTTGAATAATTATACCTTAGACGATTAAATTTACCAAATCGCACTTCGGTGATGGTGCTGATACCTCCCAAACCCGTTTGCAAAATAGTTATATTCCATAAAATATGGACTTTCATCACATGAATTATGATAGCAGCACCCACATTGTCAAATATTTCCTACACAATCACTATCACATATTTTGGGAAACTAGAGATACTAACTAAAGGAGAAAGTGTTAGTTTTCTTAGTGCTGTATCAACTCAGGAATGAGCTTGAGAAGAAAGGAGAGCTCTCTCTCAGAGAAGTTTGGCTTTGGCTTAGTATCATCAACATCTCTGCTTGATGGCTTCATCATCTCTCTCACGGCCTCTGTTATCTCCTCCACATGATCCACTATCACTCCCTCTATTCCCATCAAATGCTGCATGTACACTGCCTCAGCTACATTGTTAAGCTTTCCGTATGTCATGAGAGAGAGCTTGGATTCTTTGATCTTGTAGACGGCGGCGGGGCTGCGGAAAATTCCCTTGACCTCAGAGACAATCCCTTGAAGGCCTCCTTCTAAACATACTTTGATTGCTTCTTCCAGCGAATTCCTTCTAGCGTCGTGGTACATCTCAGTACCACCGTTTGTCAAGAAGAATACCTATATATTAAGAAATTGGATCATAATTAAGTTGATGGATTAAAGTGGAAAGAGTACTGTGTGTGTGAACTTACGGGGTAGGTGGTCTGCAACTTCCTGACAAGAAGGGCGGCATCAGGATGGAAGCTGGAGAAGATGATTGGTCTGTCCTTTGCAAAATCAGACACCACCTGCAAGATTGGGAGGAGAAGACGGGAGAGATGATCGGGGGAATAAAGGAGGTTGTCGTCAAGCTTGAGCTCGATGTTGAAACCAAGGTTAGGCTTCTCAACTTTCTCAAAAGCCTCCTGGAGAGTACAGAGAGAGTCCTCTCCGTGGACGGTCCACTTGAGGATCTTCCCTTCCTTTGACTTTCTCAGCAATGGCTTCCCTGTCTTCCCTGGTTGCCTCTGTGGCCCGTAGGACATGAACTCCGACAAGCAAACCTCCGTGACCCTCTTCTCGTACACCACTCCCTGTTCCTCAGAGAAGATGAAGTCGTCGTGGAAAATGACTGGGCAGCCATCTCTGGTGACCTGCGCGGAAGAAGAAGAAGAGAGATT